ATGCAGAACGCCCACTCATGTGTTTGCCGTGCGTGGCGACCCGTGTCGAATGTGTCTCCTGGCAGTAAGGGACCTGTTTGTTTCCCAACTTTGTTGTTCACGTATTTTGGGAAACATTCATTGTAGGTTTCCAACACACTTGCTTTAGCCTCGGACTCTTGTAGACGGGCAGTCGGGAGCTAACCCACTCCCGATCAACGGCTTGGACTAGATCTTATTCTGAACTCCAGGGTGAGCAAGGAAGTCCATGACGGCGCAGCGCTATGACATCTCCACTCCATATCGTTGTGTCAACCCTGGCACTCCAGTGCGGTGTACCCTTGTTGGACTCCATGGTGGGTGGGGAGCACGGAGACGAATCCGCTTAGGATCGAGAGGAAGGACAGTGGGAGAAGGATCCTTACTCCCACTCTGATCTTGACGGTTAATCTCCCATCTCTCCCAGAGAGGATTAGTTGAGGGGTTTATATTCTCCACGTGCGGCAGTATGTGCCAAACACCGTGCGTTGCATCAAGTGTCAGATGTTCGGTCATACACAACAGCCGTGTATGGCCGTAAGTCCTGTTTGCACCAAGTGCGGCAAATCCACACACGATACGGATCCGTGTTCCTCCTTGCTGTGTTAACTGTGAACGAGGCAATGCAGCCAACTCGAACAATTGCCCTAAATATCTGAGGAGAGGGAAATCCAAAAGTTGAAAATGACGGAAAAAAAGTATCTTTTCCCGAGGCGAAACGCCGGTACTTTGGTAAGAACCCTGTAGATCTCGGGCGTTCTTTTTCAGTACTTCAGTGAAGACGGCAAAAGCAACAACGAGTTGTCAGACGTCATCTGTTACTCCCCCAGTTGCTCATTTCTGTTGCCAGGTGTCTCCAGTGGACCTCCCTGAGGAGATCGCCTCTGCAAGGTGGGAAGATAATTCCCTCCAAATACAAATGGCCCTAAAAAACACACAGGCGAAGTCGGACCTAGGATCCACTTCTCTGCCCCGCATGAAGGCTGATGTCACTCGAGGGGAGGAAAAAGTTCCTTTGGGAGCAAAACAACTTAAGATCTAAAAGCTTTTTCCTCGTGGAACCTAAATGCACCCGTTAGAGGAGTTGAAGCTGTTAATGTCTCTGTATAAACCCGTTGTTATCTGTCTGCAGGAAACATCTTCCTGAGCGTTCCCTCTCTCTTCGTAGCTTTTGTTGCCACAGGTAAGACATTGATGATGGCCTCTGGGCACATGGGCGAGTCGTTACATTTGTCAGATTCTCTGGTGTCCAAAGAAATAGACGTACGAACCACTCCTCAGACATCTTGCGTTCGTGTGAACTTCCGCACTATGTCGATAACTATATCGTCTATGTAACGTCTATATCCCGCTTGGACAAGTGTCGCAAGAGGAACTTGAAGATATGTTATCTCAGTTACCCGCCCCTTTGCTTATTGTGGGGTACATTAGAAGCCCACCACCCTGCCTTAGGTGGCACTAGGACCGGCTCGAGAAGCAGTATACTTGAAAATATTATTGACAACCAGAACTTAATTGTTCTGAATCCTGGCGAAAGTCCACATTTTCCCATGACTTTAAACATTTTCTCGTCCGTCGACCTGGATTTCTGTAGTCCATCTCTCTCTACCATCTTTGAATGGACTGTCCTTGGCGACCTGCAACGCAGTGACCACTTCCCCATTCTGATAAATTTCGATACTCCCGACCCAAACGTTGCTCGTCCTCGCTGGCTAATCCAACGAGCTGAGTGGAAACATCGAGAAAGAATACGGATTTCGGAAACCTACCCCAAGGGATATTGATGCTATGGTTGCCGCATTTTACTGATGCTGTTCTTCATGCGAGCTCAATTGCCATCCGAATTCGTCTACTCACCCACGACATCCTCTCGTGCCATGGTGGTATGCAGACTGTGCCAACGCGGTGCGTGATCAGAAACTGGCATTAGCGGAGCTTAGTAGTTTTCCAACCATTGATAATCAGATAATCAACCATGGATCAGTTATAAAAGATCACGCGCCAGAGCTAGATTGATCATCAGGAAAGTAAGGCCGCGTCCTGGATAGCTTATATTTCATCACTCTTTTGCCGTACGCCCCCTAAAGAGAAATGAAGAAGTTACATAGAAAGCAGTGATTGCGATGGGAAATGTTAATTTAGGGCCCCATATATATATATATCATTCAGAAAAGAATTTCTCAATATATTCACCACTGTGATTTTGGTACCGGTTTAATGTTCAATCATTCACAAATAATGACATCCTGCACAATATGGATTCTTTGGGAAAGGTTCGGCAGATCGTGGAAGACTTCCTTCTCCGTCTCTCAGCTTCTGTAAATGGAAATTTTCTCACGTCACTTAAGATATCGTTGAAGAATTGGTATCTCACTACGAGCACATCTTCCACCTCCGTACACTACTCTTCTAGATTTCTGAAGGCCATAGAATGGAGAACTGTAGACTATATTTCCTCGAGTCGTGTTGAGGAAGATTGCAATGCTCCTTTTCCCATTTCCTGTGCCCTCGCTTGTGCAAAAGATTCTGCTCGAGGACCATACCAGATATATAATCAAATGCTTAACACCCGAGAAAATGCTCGTTATTTTCACATTTTCAACTTTTGGGATAAACATTCCTTACCATGATTGGCATGAAACCATTGTTATTCCAATCCCTAAAGAAGGAAAGGACAGAAAATCCCTTCAAGTCACCGTCCAGTGTCGCTCACAAGCTGTGTGTGTGCAAGGTTTTAGAACGAATGGTAAAGAAACGTGTGGTCTGGCTCCTGGAGCTAAGGAATCTATTTACACCCTTTCAATGAGGTTTCAGGGGGCACACGTCAATCATGGACCACTTAGTCTCCATTGCCACACAGATCTCAACGTCTTTTGTGCTACCACAACACCTGGAGCAATTTTTTCGACATAGAGAAATCGTATGACACCACCTGGAGGTACGGTATTCTTCGCACCTTGCATTCTTGGGGCCTTAGGGAACGGCTCCCTTCGTTTCTAGATTTTCTTTCGTTAAAATCCTTCTGCGTCCAGCTTAGTGACACGTTATCAAGTCACCGGTTAGAAAACGGGGTGCCCCAGGGATCAATTCTCAGTCACTGTGTTGGCCAATGTTATCAATAGTATCGAATGAATAATTCGAGAGCCTGTCAAAGCATCGCTCTTCGTTAACGACTTTGGCATAGTCTGCTCAAAGAGCATGCAAGTTTTTGAGGCAGCTACAGCTTGTCCTCAACAAATTGCAAGAATGAAGCGATAAAACTGGGTTCCAGTTCTCCACCTCAAAATCCAGTTGCATGCACTTCTGTAGAACATATCACCTCCATATTCATACTGATCATTTGGGGGGGAGGTATCATCTTCCCTGTGTCGAATCTGCCACTTTCCTTGTCTTGACAGTTGACAAGAGTTTAATATGGTGAAATTGGTCGAGGCTGTTGAACCATCCCGGAGCCGAAGGCGAGATATTGTAATAGGTGCGAAAGTATCAGCCATAAATGCTCTTTCGCGCTAAGCCTTCTTCACTCAAGTCACAGGACATCGTACGAAGTCAGACCGCCGTTACCCCTTCCTCCGGGATCCGTCTGTACACGCTGTAGCAGAAACTCCTTATAAAACTCCCCATCCCTTTGAACCCCCCCCCCTCCCCGAAATCGTTTTCACTTGGAAGCTTCTCTGGCTTAAAATATACCTGAGATTATCACACTTTCCCAAATCCTAGACTCCCCTCAGTATACTTCTGACGGAATTCCATGTGACGAAATCCATGTATCCCGGCTATAACTTCATATACACTGATGGTTCCTCCCAGAATGGTAATGTAGGGTGTGCCTTCTACTGCCACAGTGCCATGCAGAGTCTTCGACTAGACTCTTCGTGCATCGCTTATACTGCAGAAAAGTATGTGCTCTTGGAGACACTGAAGTTCACTGAATCGATGGCATTAAAAGAAGCTGTTGATCTGCAGTGAATCAAAGAACTCGCTCGAATCTATCTTCTGCTTCTCTCCTTGTGACCCTCTGATAATAATCATCCAACACCAAATCCATAATATACTGGTTCGTCGTTATAATTTGTTATTTTGTTGGATCCCTGGTCACGTAAGAATAATAGGGAACGAAATTGTTGAGCAGACAGGAAAGCTCGTCACGTAGAAAACTGAGGTAAACATCCTCACAGTCCCAATAAACGATACCAAGCTGTTTATCAAACGTATTCTCAGTGCATGGCGAACAGAGTGGCTGAACGCAGACTTTCAACTCACGAGAATGAAGGATTCCGTAAAGCCGTGGTCTTCATCTCGTGGGTCAAGACGCAGGAGAGAATTCGGACCAGCCTTCGGATCGGTCACTGTCATTTCGCCCATGGACATCTTTCACTGCTGTGACCCACGCCCTACTTGCGATAGTTGCGAGACTGATCTTACTGTGGAGCATGTTCTCCTGCACTGTTCTAAGGTAGCCGATGGAGGCTTCACCTTGCTAGCTCTCTACCACAGGTACTTGGAAATGACGAATATTCTCTCTGCAAGCTTTGTAGCTTCTTATGAAAGACTGACATTCACAGCGTTATCTGAGAGAAGAGGATAATGCCAATTATTTGGCTTACAATGGGAGATTTTAAGGTGTTTATCTGGCTTATTTCTGCCAACCGTTTTAAATACTTGAACACGTTGATAAGGGAGCCAATGTCCTTAGCTCCCTTAAACCTTCGTCATTGAAGAACTCATTGTACTTCATCTTTTTCATATATTATCAAATATTGTTTTGAACTAATGCATTAGGTATTAAGCAAGGAAAACTGTTTTATACATTACAGAGAGAACACTCAATAATTGTTAATAAGATTGTTTTTTGAAATGCAGTGTATATAGAGAATATGAATTCTGGGGAATGTCATTAGTTTAATCATTGTACAGTTTTTAATATGATGCTTATTTTCACAGATTAATTTTTGTAAACATGTTTTGATTCTTTGTTGAAGTTACAACAACAGATACTTCTGAAGCCGAATCTATTGGTGAATTTTGTGAAAGGAATTTCAATGAGAAACCAATACAGGTTAGTGACAATTTAGCATTATTTAGGGTGTTTTATGTAATTTTATAGGTAAGACATGCTGTGTTGAACAATTTTGTGTCAAAATTTTTAATGTTTTGGATGTAAGAGATGAAACAATGAAGAGTTTATGAGAAACAAAATGGTAACAAATAAAGATGAAGTGGCGGTGCGATATTTCAGAAGGAAACAGGTGAATGAGAACTGTCAATAGTACTGGTAAACACCTTATTGTAATTAATAGGTCATTTAAAGTAGCTTTCATTTCATGTCAGCGGGCAAATTAAAGAAAAATATGGCAAATTTATGATAAAACAGTGTATTTCTGAAAACAGTTGAGAAAGCCCAATAACTTACATTTCCTGGGTACTTTTAAATATTTTCTTTATTTATTTGTTTCATGTGACATTTCTTTTGTGATAAATTGCAACTCTATTGCTAAAAAAAATCAAAAACATGCTTGTAAAATTCTTAACGACTGATTTAATTGAATTATTTTATGTGTTTAAATATTTTTTTTAAGATAAAGGTATGAAATACTCTTGCAATTGACCAGGTAAATGGGATCAAGAGTAAGTTGGATAAGAAAAAGCTCATAAAATACAGGGTTAAGTAAAGGAGATTAAAAACTACTCTTCATGTGCTTTAATAATTAAAAATATATTCAGGGGAGGAAAGAACTTGGGTAAATATAAACTTATTTTCTCTTAGAAAACAAAATTATATTTCTTAAAAATCTTTTATGCTTATGTTATGTAATAAGATACCTCTGTTAGGATGCTCTAATTCTGTAGAAGCAGATTTGAATGTTTCAAAGTGTTTTGTAATTTTATTTCTGAGATTGATTGACTTCTGATAACATTTCTGAAGAAAGTAATGTTCACCATATTACAGTAAGGATACATTTTTAAATTTTGTTTACTACTTTCGTGTACAGTTCCTGAAATACAATGTTTCAGAAGGATGAAACTACAAGTGAAACTGCAAGTGTGAAGGGTCTTGCTTCAGCAACCTTATCAGTGAGCAGAAACACTCGCTCAACTGCAAAGTATGAAACAGAGCAATCGTCCAAAATCAGGAAATCCAAAGGTATATCACAAGAATTCTGATGACAGTTAAAAAGGACTACATTGTTTTCCTAGAAATTAATTTACAGTGTTTAATCACAGCTATGAAGCAATACTTTTAGTAAATATTATGTAAATCTGTTTATTATTGTTGGAAAACATTTGTGTGAAAAAAAATTTGAATGTTTTTGTGGTACATCTTTAGTTGCTTCTACACATATTGTGATCTACTTTTAGAGAAACCTTTAAAATAGTAGTTATTTATCCCAATGACATTTTGTTACATTTTTATTGAATGACCAATGATTCATAGGTAGATCAAGTCAAGCCAATGTGCACCCAAAGAAGGGAGTGAGACTCTTTAAAGAGGCTAGATTAGGTCTCTCCTCTTCTTCAGAAGATAGTCCAACAAAGGATGCTAAATCACAGGAAGAAGCAGCCATGTTAGTAAAATTTTGAACACGTTTTGTTCTTATTTTCTTTTGGCTTGCATGGCAGCACATCTTGCTTTATTAACCTCCTATTTTATTCTTTTGTATCTTTTAAGTAATACAATGAGGTAGAAACTTTGTTGTACTCTTCTAATGCAGATTGTAGTGATTCTAACAAGATCTTTGATAAATTATGTGATTCAGCCTGATTTTACACTGCAGTTATCAAGTGATGGCTTGAAAAGAACTGCAAATACTACTCTCCGAACCTGTAATCAGGCAAACCAAGAATGAATTTTTTTTCAGTTTCCTTATTTATTTTCTTGAATTTCTGTTGTTTAGTTTTGTGTGGAAGTCAGTAAATTGCTAGTAAACATGATTGTGATATTTTGTAAATCATGAAGGGATCCTGTAAATACATTATGTTTTTAATGTTCAAGTGAGAAAACAAATTTTGTGTATAGTGAGAAAACTACAGAGAAATGAATCAATGAAAAGGAATGAATCCAAATTACCTAGTAAGACACAGAAAACAAGACTTAGTAAATTTGACATTCAATCACATGTATTATTCAATTGGAAGTGTCTATTCTTTTATATGTTTAAAGCAAAAGTGTGATACATAAAATTATGGGCATCACTTATAGATTGATCCAATTAAAGTGAGTAGTATTTTATTTTTATTAGTGAATTGAGTTTTCTGATAGGTGCAAGTGCATAATTCTTATTTACTTTAACTGTGTAAAGAGAAATGAAATAAACAGCTTACTTTGAATAATTTTTCGTTAAAAAAAAAAGCTCTACAAATTGTGTATTGCGAAGAAGAAACTTTTCTGTCAATTTCTTGTTTGTCATCAATTGTGTTTAATAGAAAATAAAATTATCCTTCATTTTAACATACCATGTTCCTTGTGTAAGCTTTTAATGGGTTTTATAATTTGAACACAAGTTTAAAGTGATGAGTTAATCATTTGTCGGTAACCCTTAAATAGTTATGCTGATATAATGTGTAAACCACTATCTCAAGATATAATATATGCCTTGATTGGTCATTAAGATTGCCTTTTTTTGCCTTATGTATCTTATCTATGCAGTTTCTGGTAACATCTAATGAAATTTTGCATTGGTTAATAAATTCCAAATATTGAAATTTTCAAGAGTGCAGAACTGGTGTATGGCATACACCACAGAACTAGTTGCTTTAAATAATTCAAGGGAAAAAATAAAAAAGGGATACATCTTGTGAATTTCAAGCAAAAAGACAGAGTTTCTGTTATCATTATTTGATTTTCAAAAAGAAGTGATAATTATATGTTGTCTTTCGAGGAAAATAGTAAAATCTGTAAACCTACAAATCAGCTTACACAAGAATACTTTGATGAACCCAGAGACGCAAAGCAAGCATAACAAAATGTTACTATAATGCAAGGAAAGGAGATAAGACCATTAAGTTATACTCTGATGGATTTATGGAGATTGATAGTGTTTCATTAATCCTTAAATTCCTTGTGAAGTTAGTTCATAACTGGCTATGCATAGTGAACCAAACAATCACTCACTTTTCAAAACTACTAAAGAGTTATTTTAAGCAAATTTTTTAGATGGTGTGATTTTGATCTCTGCATAGGGCATTGGAATTCTGTGACCCATAATAATATTGAATGTTGGTGTGTGTACCTGTGATTTTTTTTATTCCTTGTTTTCTTTTCTTGACAAACTGAAATTTTCCAGAAATCTGCTTTTCTTTGGACAACATAGCTTAAGCTTCAGTTAGCTCTTTTTCTTCTGCATGTAGAATTCAAATTTTGAGATATTTGAAGAAAGCATGCATTTTTAGATGTTGCATTGTTGATGTTACATTGGTACACTTTTGAAGCATTTTTGTAAGATGATCAAAAATAGCTTTACCATTAATGAAAGAATTTTCTGTTAAAAATATAGTGGTGCTCGAACACATAGAGCTACCTTCAGTGGACACAAAATGAACCACCTTTCTATCAATTTAATTTAATTATGTTCACACTAATTTATTACACATTATTTATTAAACATAGAAAAGGCATAGTATCTAGTTTGTATTCAAATAATTGTTCTGAAATGTAGTAAGATTAAATTAAATTCAAAGGTTTAGTATTAATGAAAACAAAATACAAGAGCCATTGTGTATCACATTTATTTGAAGTAAATTCTTCTGGTATCTTTCAGATCTTGTGCTCTTGTGTGTAAAATTACAACACTTTGTTTACTACCAATCTTTCCATTAAAAATATGTTAGATGTGAAGAATAAAGCTTTCAAGTGAAGAAGTAAAGCAAATTTTTCAATTTTGGAAAAGTGGTTCCAGATTCACAATGAAATTCTATGGGAAAAACATACAAGTTTAAATATCTTAATAGTTTGTCTTTAGAATGACATCACCTGGCAAGTTTCAATATATCCTTTCCTGTCCATGCTTAAGAGCTGGAAGTCAATATGATGTTAAATTGTTGCCATCAATAATACAAAGATAAATGTGATATGATATGAAACTTAATGGTGAACGTAAGGAAAAGTCTCCCAACCAAATTTTAAAAACGCATATCTTTTGCTAAAAGCTTCAGAGATAAATGTGAATAAGTAGTGGTATAATTTACTGTGCGCCTTTGAAAGTTTTAACAGGTTCTCTTTGGAGGGAAAAGTACATGCAATGGCCACCAAATCAATTAAATAATCCAAAGAGCTTTTTGAAAACTTAAGATATTTTAGTACTTTGGCTCTATTCTTTAAGCACCACTGTATATGTTATGATAATCATTTTAAAACATATTCAGTATTTCCATTCAATAGTCATACTTAATGAATTCTCACTTTCCTGCAGGTCAGCAAAAACTCAAGAAACCAAGAAAGCCGTAGAGAAGCCAGCTCGTTTTTCTGTGTTCAGAAAACGCAAATATGTTAAGATTTACTCTAAACAAAGAAAAACACCATAAAGCTTGTTTTTATGTAATATATTTTCAATTAATGACACTTAAGTCTTGTTACTTATTTTTTATATAATTAGTTGTTTACATTGCATTATAGCAACATCATAACAACAGACAAGAAATGAAAAAATAAAATGTAATGAGAAGCCAAAATTGTGAACTGTCATTCACAATCAGCAAAGGATATCAAAGTGCCAAGAGTCTGAATGGGACCACTATCCATTCTACATGAAACTTATTTACTTCACAAAATTTCTTATCAAGCTAAAACTTACTGCTGTTTCAAAGCAAATGTATAAAAACTACCACTTAATATAAACCCAACGGAACAATAACATTGAAATTATGATAATTCATTCATTCCATAATACCATTGCAAGAAGCATTTGTTTTCCATATTTTGTTACTGAGCACACCCAACTATGCACAACGTTAACAAGAATTCATTGACCTGTAAAAAGAAATATCCAATTAATTTACTTTCATTTGGTGAACTCTCATAGTTCTCTTGAAATGATGCCAACTTCCAAATGTTCCAATTCTTCATACACTTATAAACAAAAAAAAATGTAAGCTGCACATTTATTATCTATAAAACAACTATTTCTGGAATATATCTTAACTTTTTCAGAAATATCTCAGTCGAAAAAAATGTGGTAGTCTTATATTTGCAGATTAAGCCTAGTCGGTTAGGATTTGTTTTTACATTGCCATTCCGTGTCACAAAACTCATAAATGTCGACTTTAGAATAAACCGCGAAGACTGGAAAAATATCGCACTGCAATGTATTCTCTCAGATTTATAATACGTAATTATACACGTGACCATCTTCAGCAAACATGGAATTTCAATTGCAGAAAAAATTCTGGGGAAAAAGGTAATCACGTTCAAAAAATGTATTGTTGCTGAAGAATTTGAGTTAACAATTATTTCAAACTGATGTAATTAATTTTGATAATAAAACTGTATAAGAAATTTTATTAATTATGATCGTTTTTAAATAACTTTTTTAAGTTAAATAAGTTCATATCATAAACTAATTCTGTATTGTCTAAAGAATTTGAAAATTCTCTTATAGTATAAACTGCCATGCCGCAAGTCCTCTAAACATGCCTATGAGAGGAATTTGTGACCGCGAAGTTTATTATGAACACACGCGCACATTAGGGCTATAATTAGCATTTGATCATATAACCTTATAGTAGTGGACAAACGATGCCATCCTAATCGATGGAGACAAGCAAAGCTATGCTCGTGGGGCCAGAGCTAAGCAGCAAAATGCTATTGAAGAATAATAGAGCAGACAACAGGAAAGGCTGCAGAATTGATAGCACTAAATAAACTAGTGGTGGCACAGACTTTCTCGTACTAGTTTTGTAATTTCTTTGGTCTGAACTAGCCACATTCTCTAGCCAGCTGCCATCTATAGCCGTCCTAAGTACTTTTTTTTTTTTCAGCTTCATAATAGAATCGAAATATTACTGTAAGAATAATATAGAAGAGTAAAACCTTGTCTTGTCAGGAAATTTTCATCGACAAATTTAGTTATGAGAGATTGGTACATAAGCGTTTTTGTAAACGCAAAATTTGAAGCACTTTTAATAGAAATCATTTTAATTTTCAAAAAATTTAATTGGAAGTCATTTAAAGCACATCCACATTACAATGCAATAATATATACTAATAGCTGGAAATGTGCATATTAATGGCATGAGAGAGATTTAAAACAAATTACATTTGTATATTATTTTTAAAAAACAATGCATCAACTCAACATTAATTGTATATCATCTTAAACTACAATTCGAAGTATTCATATTAAAAGTTTAAAAGAACAAAATTTGAGTATTTTTAAAATATGGTATTTAAGTGTTTCTGAAAATGCTGAATTTTGAGCTTGTTTTTACAGAAAAGCTGTGAGTTTTCGAGAAACTTTATGATATTCTCTTGTACTAAAAGCTATAATGTTAAGACCTCGCCACCAATGTACATATTAACGACATGAGAGGTTAGTCATAAAGATTATTCTTTACTTTTATTAAAATTACAAAATTTTAGACTAGAATGGAGTTTATCTCATAGAATACATTTAACATAACTCCTGTCAAAAGTTTAATGACAACATTTGGAACTGTATTAGAAAAGTTTGTTTTTGTTATTTTTAGAAAATTGCACTTTATATTGAGCGAAAACTACTAACATTTTCAAAAAATGTACCCAACCTTAACAAAAGAACTAATTATGGGCAACAAATTTCATTTAAAGCCAAAATCTCTATCTTCACTTTTGTACTTGGAGGACGCCGAAAATTTCGAACTTTCTAGATTTTTGAAAATTTAGTTTACCGTGAAAATCGGACCTATGCCTCTTTTACAGAGCGTTCAGGGCAGTGAACGATTTTAATGACATATTGTATAACAGATGAGCGTCGCTAGACGCTCGTCTCGCGCTAAATATTCTCCGCCAGTCAGCTGAGTTGCATTCACAGCTGGTCGCGGTTGACTGAAATTTTTGTTGTTCAATGTAAATTTTGATGCGGGGGGATGTTAGAACAGTTTTCACGAGAGATTCATTTAATTCGGTATCATTAATGATGAAAAATTATACTAAGTGATTCAAAACATTTCGAAATACTCTTGGAACATGTGTGATTGATTGAATTAAGTCATTAGATTCAAGAATGAAATGGAATTATACTGCATAGCTAACGGGAATTCTGCCGGTAACTTTCGGTCTTGCGTGTTGAGAGATTCAATTAATGTGTGCTGTATAATGTTTTGCAGTTATGATATCTGGTGGTTATAATTTACGATTTCCATTTTCACGTTGCTCATCTTATGATTTTGCCAGTGTATCATTTTGATCAGTGACTTGCAGATATGGTTAGTTAATTGTGAATTCGTTGTAATAATACTAAATAAATATAATTTGTTCAGTTTTTGACTAATGAAACGGCTTAAGTGACATGTATAATTAAATAAAACTACCATGAATTTGCTATTTTCTTTTCATAATTTTGGCTTCTCCGATTGTACAATCTTGGAGAATTTTCACACTACATTCAAAGATTTCTTTGGAGAGAAAAGGGTACAAGTTAGTAGATATTTTGGAGTACTGTTTGGCGGTAGTATTCTCAGTTAATTTAATTGATCAGCAACTTCAGGTAAATTTTCTAAATTTGGAATCAGTCAAGTTCTTCTAAAATATAAAAATGGTTTGAAAACTGCTATAAATTATTGTACTCACCTGTCATTCAAAAGATATTAAATAGTACATCAAATTAATGAAAGATAAATGGTTTTCATGATCACTGTGCAAGTTTTAGCCTTAGAAAATGAAAATTGAAATGTTTCATTCCTTCAATAACTTTATTACATAACATAAAAAAAAAAACATAAGTGAAAAAATAATTCCCTTATTTGCATGATTATTTATTTGAAGGATACACAATTTCCACCGAATCATTTGAATTTCAATAATTTTATCCACTTAGATTATTTAAAGTCAACTATACAAAATCAAATGAGTTTCCTAAGTCTTTTAGAAAATATTCACACCTACTATTAACAATCTCAGCCTCAACCTACCACATTTGCCAGGGTCAGGACTAAATTATTAGAAGTTATACATTTGAATTTTATACCAAGAGGATAAAACAATGAAACAATGTAGTACGTATCTCTATATGACAACACTTTATTGGTTATCAAGCAGTCCTAACAGCAGATTTTGATAATTTAATAATGTATTGCATTAAGATGTACAATATGAGAATCTAACATATCTGCTCAAAAGATAAAACTTTTCTTTATCAATGATTGCATTTTCTAATTCTTTTTTATTAAAAAGAATAATTTTTTCTATTCTTGAAGTTATATTTTGATGAGTGTAAATGAATGTTATTAAAATATATTTTCAACCATTCATTCACAATCAAACCTCTTCTTCACAATACTTTCATTCACACATCATTTTATATGCCTGTTCATATACATAAAAAATGAAACTTCATATAACTGAAAAAACTTTTTTTCTTTTTTATTATACAATAATTACTAAAAAGAATTTACAAGGAAGTGACACTGTGCAAGATTTAATGAAGTGTCTTGTTATATTTCTGAGAAGTACGCCTTAAAAAACACCCTACCTACATCATACAGAAGAAAACAAAGGCAACATTAACTTCTGGGAAGCAAGCAAATGAGCATTTTATTTTCAAAGCATATTTATTTCAGTAAGGCCAAGATAGCTTAAAACAAAAAAAGTTTCACTATTTTCACCTGGAATGTAACACTTCTTGCCCTCGGGATATAATAACTTTTAAATTCTGCACCTGGAAGAGAAGTTATAAGTATAGAAATCTTTTTTTCAAACTTATGAAATATACTGCATTAAACATGTAAATTATACTGACCATATTTCTTATGTAGAGACACAAGAGCCCATAGAGCATGAGGAACAGTTCACTCAGAGGTCATCCTGAATATTTACATAATGAAATATCCTTGAAGATTGACTATTCACTTTCCTTTCTTCTTATAGATTTCTATATATGTGTCATATAATTCTTCAACAACTAAACTGAATTACAGAATGAATAAGTACTTTATATTAACAAATTTCTGCAAAAGACTCTAGACAATATTTTGTTTCTTAAAATCATTTCATCTACAACATATCTGCACCCACATCAACTGATATGATTTTTCAAATATGAAAATATGTGGCAATCACATTGTATCAAAATCATGTAAAAATAAACTGCCTTATTCTATGATTAATTCAACAAATTAGGTTTTAAGAGACTTTTCTGAACAATTACTTCAGAAGTTTTCAAAAGAAGACACTTAAAGGTATGCTCAGGTTTTAACGGTATGTAGTGCTGAGATAGAAAATGCTGCAAGGTACCACCTTCTTACATGTTGATGAAGGTCTTTTACATTTCTAAAAAATTGGAAATGACAAAAGGATATTTCAATATTTTAGTTATATTCAAAAAACAATATGCATTTATTTCATATTCTCTCTATAAATACATATAATTCTACCTGGCAAACTTGTATCGCTCTAAGAAAATTGTATATAGAATAACTAAAATCACTGAAACACACATATATATGGTAATACAAATTTTCTATTCCACGCTTTTAAGTGACATACAATTTTCACCACTGTATAGTTTTAATACTCAGTTTTTGTGTAGTTTTAATACATTTTTGCGTTTTATAATCAGGTATTTTTATAAATGAATAAATGTAATTATTTCAATGATATTTTTCACATTTCTAAAAAACAATTGATGAAATGTCACTCACCAGCAAGATTGAACAAGATGCATTTCTCCTTTACAGTAACTGATGGTTCTGCTAATCAATGGTAGTAATTCTTCTTTCATCCATTTTGAAACATTCTGCTGTCTATGATAATCATCTATTATTTTTTTGTCTTCGACGGATAGATATAAAAGCTTTCGATGAACATTTGCTCTTCTGCATGTATGACTATATATCTTTTACCTTCATCTAAATTTTTGCTTGAGCAACTTTGCATGTTGTTGACTTTTCCATGAAGAGGCTAAGCCTACAAGGAGTAGATTGTTAAAAACAATTAGAGAAAGATCTACGTGAAATAAAATCACTATTGAACCGACTTATGTTAGGTGCTTTTCTAACCGCGACAAACGATATTCATAACATAAGTTTTAACACCTTGCTATTTTCTGCAAAAGATGCATTTCATACATTGCAAATTCATCTTCTCCATTCCTTATATCTACAATTTTCATATTTTCAACCATACAAATTTAGTAGATTGTTTGATTTGCTTTTTGAATAAGACAAAAGTTTCAATCAAAACCACTAATTAAAATAACCTTTAGGGTTCAGGTTTCATATACTCCATCAAAAAGTCAAGAATATTTAATAAACTACTTAATCAGTTTCTTTCATCGCAAATGATAAATAAATTCAATTACCATTTCTTGG